TTCCAGGACCTCAGGGGATGGGTCAGCCGTTTGGGGGCCAGCCCGGCCCGTAAGCTTCCAGCGCAGGCCCTGGCCTTTGTGAGGCTGGGCAGGCCCCACTGTCCAGAAAGCCCGGCCAGCCCCGGCTCTCTGGCGTTGGGGGCCCCCCTCCTGCCCCCTCAACCGCAGTGGGGCATCACTGAGTTCTGGGCCTGCCCCGATGTGGGTGGTGGTGGTCTCTTTCCAGAACATACCCGCGGCCTCATGAGTACCTGTCCCCATCGGATCTGCCCAAGAGCTGGGACTGGCGGGACGTGAATGGCGTCAACTACGCCAGCATCACCAGAAACCAGCACATCCCCCAGTACTGCGGCTCCTGCTGGGCACATGGCAGCACCAGCGCCATGGCAGGTGGGTGGCTGTCCCTGGGCCCTGGGCGTGGGCCAGGATGCAGCCCTGCTGAGTGCACAGGGCCTGGCCTCTGCCACAGCGACACAATGGGGTCGTGCTGGGAGTGCTCCCAGCAGACCTGCCCTGGCCTTGGGTGACTAGGACTGATGCTCAGTGACGGTGGCTCCCAGGTGCCCTGTCCCCTGGGGCTTATGACCTCAGCCATTGAGATGGAACCAGAAATGCAAAGTCACCGAGCCGAGGCTGCACTGGGGCCTTTGCGAGCATGCCTGACCCGGCCTCGGAGGACCGGGCAGAGCTGCCGCCCCTGCCATGCTCACTGCTCCCAGCCGCGCCAGTTTCTATCTGGACCTTGGCCTTCTGGCCACAGTGGGGGCAGGAAGGCGCAGCGAGGGAGATGGGAAGCTGAGGCCCCCACCACAGGGAGGGCTTCTGCGCCCCGCTTTGGCAGAGATGCCTGCAAATCGGCCTGCCCCAGGCCTGCCCAGATGGCATGGAGGGGCCCTGCCTGCTCCAGCAGCAGCCGTGGGGTCCAGGAGCCCGAGCTCCGCTGGGGAAGGGGCACACTCTGGCTCGGTTTGGCCAGGCAGGGCTGAGGTGCTGCCATCTCCCACCTGACTTTGGTATGCCATTGGTCAGGACTGTCGAGGGCACCGTGTGGGGGATGGACAGCAGCATGGCCCCCCTTGCCACAGCTCGGAGGCACACACGCGTCTCACCTCAGTGAAGCCTCGCTGCCAGGACTGCTGGGTTCGCAGATGAGAACCAAAGGCTCTTTGCAGGGAGGCTGAGGGACTGGCCATGGTGTGAGTGGCAGCTGGGGCATGAGCCCAGATGCCTAGGCTCTGGACCAAGACCTCTGCTGGCCTCCTTTAGGACGAGGGTTCCTCCTTGGATGTGGGGTCTGGACCCCAGAGCCAGCCAGCTATGGCAGTGGCATCTGGCAGTCTTCCCTAGTGATCTGGCCCTGTTTCTGCTTAGGGACAGGTAGAACGACCCCCAGGGGCTGGTGCCTTCCTGGGGCAGGGCTAGAACAGGGGAAGCCTGTGGGCAGGCGGCCAGAGAAAGAGGGTCTGGAGACATCCGGGTGGTGGTGGGGGCAGGGCGGTGCACAGCACAGTGCTTCCCACTTAGCACAAGTGAGAGGGGACTTTGCGTCAGGGTGGGGGTGGGGAGGTCACCAGGGGCCTTTGGGAGCCTCTTAGCTCAGGGAGCCCTATGACAAGATTTGCAGCTGTACGAGTTGGTGGGAGGGATGGCCGACGGCTTTCAGATGTGTGTCGGGCCCTGGGAGGATCAGCCTTGCCAGCTTTCTGAGTGGAGCCCTGTCCGGGCAGATGCCTGGCTGCCCCCTGGCTCCTTGGGGCAAGATCCGTTTCCTCTTTCACTAGGCAAGTGGAAGCCACCAGAAGGGGACTTCCACAGGCCTAGCCCACCAGCCACTAATGGCAGAGGCCCTGTACGTTTACCTCCC